ATAGTTAGCTTCTTTCAAGAATCATTCACCGTTATGCTGTTCATTGTGGAAAAGCTTACATAGCTCTACATCCCCATTTTTATCATAAGAGGCGGAGGTGATGAAAATGTGGTAATGTTTCTGAAGTGCAACCAGCATAGCAAAGTGTTGTGCTTCATGAATGTGAAGGGTCAGGTATGTAATTATAAGGGAAACACAAGGCCATTAATGTTTGGTTTTGTCAACCTGAGTATGCAGCGAAAGAATATTACCCTTAGAAAGGTAGTTGCTGTCCCTGATTTATTAGCAAACAACTGTGAATTGATCAAAACAGGATAGCCAAACGCACAAAAGGACACCGGACTCAGTAAGAATGAAAGAAAACATAAGCTCCTGACTTTTTATATGCGTCTTTTATGTTAATAATAAGATCATAGTTTTATTCCTATGGATGTGACGTCAACCGGGAGTCTCAAATTCTATTAGGAAATGATCGCCATCTGACGTTTCTGACATGGCAGAACGGTAAGCGTTCCAACGTACAATCAGCACTGCAAGGGATGATATGAAACGTGCAGGTGGTTAAGGGATTTGCTTATCCACAGGACTGCCAGGATTTATTAATATTAGAGCTGATTTATTAAATTACGGAAACTCTTTGTCCAAGAACTGTACTAAGGGACGATAAGATATCGCATAGCGAGTCCATAGATTCCGCATGGTGGGACAACCCTGAAATGAGAGTTGTTTTATGGAAAATAGCCAGAGAACTTGACGAATAAGCAGCAGACAATTAGACGACAATGTTGCGAGTGATTCACCCATGGCGAACTTGGCGTTAGAAAATACAGTATCTATCACTGACGGCAGTACGTGACATGGCGAATACGTGTCGCTGTCAAATTAGCGTGCTCCAATCCCAAACAAGCTGTAGGCGGTTCCAAGCTCGAATGAAAAAAATGGGTTGGCACCAGGCAGGCTGTTAGAAATACAACCAAAGTAAAATATTACATGTTAGCTTGTCTGTTAATGGAATATTTGGAATATTAGAAACGAGTTATAGCTTTGGCAGCACTCGGAAAAATGGTCGTGCCAAAAATCAGAATGCGAATAGCCAATTGGAACGTTGGAACGCTGACTGTACAGAAAGTGGAGCTGGCAGAAACTGTCCAGAAAAGGAAAGTCCGTATCGATTGCATACGAGAGACAAAACGAAGACGCTAAGCGTTGAAGGAGACCAGATTAGACTAGTAATTCATTTATTGTGGAACATCAAGCAGAAGAAATGGAGTTGCGGCTGCACAGAACGAAGTGATCAAGGAGAAGGCGACTAGGTATTTTAAGTCAACCGCTTTAACGACAGAGTCGCGGACGTGATATCCTAAATATCATAAGCGTCTTCGTCTCTCAGATTGACCAGGATGAATCTGAAAATTCGAAATTCTTCGAGAACAGGATTTTGCACTTAAAAATAAGTCGAAACGAAAAGGTGGTAATCGTTGGTATTTTAATGGATATATCGGGAAACATGAAATCGCTGATGACAGTGTCAATAATGGAAAGTCATATAATATGCTAAATGAGGAAAGATAGAACATCATGCACGACGGCAGTTGCATATAGCATGATCCTGGCAGAGACGTTTTTTGAAAAGAAAAAATTCTTCGTTTACCTACAAGTTCAGTCAGACAGAAAATTTTAGCTTGACGGAATGAATTGC